TTACGGATAATTTAGAGCACCCGGAAGTGTCGAAAGAGTGTGAAAAAAGTGTCGAAACAGTGTCGGACGAGTGTCTCCCAGGGAGCGACACGTGAAAACCTTCAAATTTCGGTACTTTCCTGATGCTCGAAATTCTTTTCTGGTGATCAAAGCTAAAGTAGGTTGGAACATCATGACACTATGCAGGGGGATCAGCCACCTCCGCCAGATAACGGGCCCCCCTGGAATCTCCAGGGCCCGCCAGGATTCCCCCAATGACGCCCACCGAATGCCCAGAACCTGCACGACCATCGGTCTTCTCTCCTCCTCAACCCTCGACTTCCAGGAGGTGGTGACCCGCGTGCTGGTGACCCCTTTTGATGGCGACGCGCAGGAGTGCCCCTGGGCAAGAGTGACATTTGTTGCGCGGCTTCGGGTGGGGCGCGGGGGGGGGGAGGGGAAAAACCCGAGCGCGCAAGCCGCCGCGACCGCCTCGAATTCAGCACAGCGGGCCCACACTCGAGGCCACTTCGGCGAAAGGTCACTGCTTCGTGTAGCCGCTGGCCTCGGCACTCCCTGAGACGTGTACGTACACTTCTTGATCCGCGGGTCGAGAGCGCAGCTCTTCCGGTCGAAGCTAAGCGGGCCGCGCGAAGCTCGAATTAGCGAGAGGGGGGGAAGGGAAGGAGCGCAGCCTCACGGCGAGGCCACAAACGTGTACGTACACGGACGGTCGGGAACTTTTGGACAGCGCGTCGCCCTGGCGGCCCCGGCGAGGCGCCACGTCTTGCAGGCGGATGGCGTGTCGATCCGCTCCGAAGGGCGGGAGGGCTCGGGAAAGTGGGTAGCGCGCCGCGCCGGAGCGTAGTGGCGACACGCTGCAGTGCGGGCGCGGCCGCAAGAGGCCCTCCCAAGAAACCCACCCCCGGGGCTGCACCTCACGCAAGCGGGGGGCCCAGAGCACCCGGAGCGCAGCAGCTCCCTCAACCGGCCGCGGGAGGCCGCCGCAGCAGCGCGCGGAGCGAAGAAACCCGGGCTCCCCCGACGAGCAGCACCCGGTTTCTGGACGCGCGCCCCTGCGGTATCTCGGGGATGGACAGACCCCCCTTTAGTAAAACGTGGTTCAGTGAAAACGACCCGAGGCCCAAACCTGGCGGGCGCAGGCCTGGAAAAGAACGGCCACGGCGCCCTCCCGAGAACCGACAACGGACAATACACTAATCGACGCGTCACTGTTGGGGGTTCTGTCCACCCCCGAGTATCATCATCATCATCATCATCATCATCATCATCATCATCATCATCATCATCATCATCATCATCATCATCATCATCATCATCATCATCATCATCATCATCATCATCATCACCGAGTATCCGAAAGCTCTCCACCGTGAGCTCCGGCCCCTCGGGAGCGGCAAAAGGGCGGCGAGAGCGGGCGCCGCACCGGCCCGCCGGCCTGCCCGCGGCTCTGTTTTCTTGCTGGCTCGGCGGGGCGCGACTCGCGCGCGGGGGGGCCCCTCGTGTGCCCGCGGGCGGGGGCGGGGCGGGCACGTGTCTCGCGCGCGCACCCGCGCGGGAGGGGGCCGGGAGGGGGAGGGAAGTGACGGGAGGGGATCTCCGCCGTCGCCGGAGCGATGGAGCGGGGAAGGGGGGAGGGGGGGGAGGGAGGACAAGGACGAGGGGAACGGAGGGCGGACAAGTCAGGCGAGGAAGGACGAGGACGTCGTCCTTGCCCGTCCTCCTCCTCCTCCTCCTCCTCACCCTGGCCCTCGCCCGTCCTCCTCGTCCTTGTCCTCGTCCATACGACGACGAGGACGAGGATGGACGAGGAGGGGAAGGAGGAGGACGAGGAAGAGGATGAGGAGGAGGAGGAGGAGGAGAAGGAAGATGGCTAGGTCTGACGACAGCCGTCAGTTACTCAGGCACTCAGCATGTGGAGGAGGAGGAGGAGGAGGAGCAGGCGAGGAAGAGGAGGAGGAGGAAGTGGATGGAGAGGGAGAGGGGAAGGTGAAGGGGAGGGGGAGGACGATGAGGAGAACGCAAGAGGAGGACAAGGAGGAGGAGGAGGAGGAGGAGGACGATGCCTACCCGATAGCTGACGACCGCACGGACCTACTGACGCCAGTAGCAGCCGCTCAAGAGCGGCGCAACCTCCTTACGCACATCAAGCTGGGGATTCGCTACAGCCCTACTTCAGGGGCGCCTCCATTCACGATCTCGCTCTTCCAGACGGGCGTCGCCAAGAAGACCATCGGCAAGATCGACGAGCTGATCGAGGCCCAGGGAGCCGCCCCAACTGGAAACATCGCTGGGCAGCCTGCGACCCACGGCGGAGACGACAGTGGGGGCCCACCAAAGGAGGGAGGTGCGACGAACTATCACCACACGCACGGAGAACCGAGTACCGTGACATAGAACGACAGCGCCGCAGATCCCACGACCTCGACCTCAGGCCCAGCACCCTCAGGCTCAGCGTCGCAGAAGCGAGACCTATCCCACATCACCGACACTCTCAGCAGAGACCTGTTACACATCTCTCCCAGACGCCTGATCGAGAAGAAGCACGCCGCCACCGACTCTACGCAGCGGAAACCGGCACCAACCCGCATCATGATCGCCGACGACAGCATCCAGACAACGGGCAACGACATCGACGACACGAGGCATCCACCGCCGAAAGCCGACACACCAGCAAACCACGACGACGGCGAAGACGTGGCCTACCTCGGGCGCGACGACCTGGACTACGCTGCCAAACAGGTCATCGACGCCGCAAAGGTCATGAACGCTTGTCCAAACCTGACGCCACCTCAACAGCTGCCAAGCGACACAACTAGCTCAAGCGGGGAACAGCCGCTATGGGCACCGTGGCCGCCCTTCGCACACGTCTACCAGCCCGAGCAGCCGACCAACCTGGTGAATCAGGAGACTCCCCTGATAGCCCACAGCCGCTGAGGCACAAGCCTCAAGATAGGACCAGCCGAGCGGCGGCCCATCGGTGCGTCACCCACCTCCCACATGTTTGACCAGTGTTACTCCTCTGCCGACAGCAGACATCACCAGCAGCCAGAAGCTCCTTTCCACATCCATATCTCGGTATTACCCTTCTACCATGTAGCCGCACTCATTGGGCAGACCGAACCAGCAGCAGCAACGGTTGGCCGCAACGACTATCTACTCTCTGCGACTCCCACCTCACCACTTCCTGGCGACGGCATTTCCCCAACTCTACCGGCAGTTCTATGGCCACCACACAGCACAATGCAGGGCTCAACAACCCGCCGTGGCATTCTCACCCATATGTGTTACTTTGCCGACGTGATTCGCCCGAGGGCACATGTTTCCCGTCGTGTACTTGTGGGTTTGCGGTAACACAGGGCTCCCAAACCCGCGGCAATATTCTCACCCACAATGGCCAGGATCACCGCCAACTGATGGAGTCCTCTCACGCGCCTCCTTGGTGTCATCTTAATCCAACAGTCGGGGGGCCTCGGAGGCAGCGACACGAAGGTCCTACCATCAATTAGGCCACTGAGAGCTCTCACCCAACCTCCCATTCCCCACTGGCTGCCCACTTCTCTTACCATGTTTCCGACCTCCTCCCTCCTAACTGGCCTACAACCTCACCACTCTTGTGGGACGGGATGGGATGCTGTGCACGGGGGCGACTGCCAACGGGACTCACCAAAGGCCGTCCTGGCAAGGGCTAGGGCGGCCGCGGCGCCAGCACTCTGGGCTACCAGCCACACACACTCTCTTCGCCAGCGAACTGCATCTCTAACACTTCCCCCATTCGTTTCGTGATCCTACTGCCCCTTACTCCGCATGTTGCTGGATCTGGGCCACCTGGGCCGCAATTGTTCATCTGGTTTGGTGCTTAACCCGTAAAGAACCTACGAACAACACCCGAGGGAAGCCCAACAACGTCCTCCGCGGCCTCCTCGTGTGCAACACTGTATGTGCCATCGCGGAGTTTAGGGGTGCACGGGCAAAACCCAAGGGCACCGAGAGTGCCAACATGATGGCCTTTCTGTATCAGTCCGCACGCCACAATCGCACTAGTGTGGATTGGTGGGACGT